GAATTTAAAATTGTATAAATCGTTTATAGCGTAATTTTCTTAATAGATTTATGAATAGAAAAATTATATTATACTATACCTTATAGGTGCGTATTACCATTTAACCCAAAATACTTTAAGTCTTAATTATACAATACATATATTATGTTAAATACCTCTAAATATATGGTGATATCTCACAGATAAACTTGCACTGCCGTTTCAGTTGATTATAGATTAGACCCTGCAAACACATTTTTAGACTAGTTAATAAAATGAATATATAAAATATAAAATAATATAGAGGTCATTCCAACGGTGTATTATGACAATAATTTATTAAATCAGGTATAAATTGCCAAAAATGTTTCCATTTTATTTTGTAACATAAATAAACAAATTACAGTAATTTCGGAATCCGTTTAAACCAATTTAATTTTGTCAATTTCATAAAAAGTGGGCCATATAGGAAGCGTAATGTGGACCACAAACGAATTTTAAAACCGTCAAAAATAACAAGAGTAATAATAATGATAATAATAGTAAATATGTATTATATGCGTATTATATTATTATACATATTATACTATATATCTGCTCAGAGAACGGTGTCCCAGACTCCTTGGTATTATTATTATTACTATTAATCAAGTGTAATATTATTATTATTATTATGGTGGAAACATCGGCGACGACTGTTGGCGTTCGCGGTTTAATATATAAACATAATATAAATAAATATATATAATAATAGGTAGGTAAGATAGTCGAGCAATTCTCTATTATTATATTTAGATACACGCGTGTAACACCTTTACGGTTTTTTGAGATCATTTGTTATTTTATTATATTATTTACTATTATTACAGGTCTATAGTTATACATATATAATACATAGGTACAATATATTATATTCGCATGTCGGTTGGATGAGAAATTTGCCTGAAAATTATCGTAAAACATCACAAATAAGCGCATAATAACGATGTCGTACAATTCTAGGATCCGTGTGTTTATCCTATTGTGTTACCCTTCATTATAATATATAATATCGCTTCATAAAGAGACATAGAAAGAGAGAAAAACGATTAAACTGCTTCCACGCACACACACACACACGCGAAGAAAATCTATTGGACAAATATTTTTACGTAGGTACGTCTATTATGGCGCGCACATTTGTTACCCACGGGGGCCATATTACGATAAATACCAAATCGAATGGCGCAAACGATGTCTTGTCCCCTACAATTTTCTACCCACACCTGTCCACCGGGACATCGGGCGTTTTCAATAGAGCTGAGAAATACTTGCACGGTCGCTTATGAAGCGAGAAAAAAACCACTCGTCGCATCCGTTTCGAATATATATGGAAAATCGATAATTGCGGCGGTTACGACGATCGTTGAAGTGCGTGTGTGTGTGCGGTTGCCATTTCCTCGTGTAATGGGCGAATCCGCGTTTGACGTACCGTACATAAATCTTCGCGTCAATTGGTCACCCGCGACTATAGGGGAAAAAACACAGCTCTCGGCTCCATAAACGCAATAATATAATGTAATATCGTAGATAAAAGCATGTATAGGACACATTATTATTATTGTATATACCAATTTGCGATTAATATGACATTCGATAGCCGCCATTCGGCGGCATCGTTGTATTATTTTTATTTTATTTTCGTGTGCGTGTGAGAATCGCGGGTTTTCGACATTCACGTCAAAAAAAAAAAAGCCGACCGTAAAAAATATTCGGACGATAATAGGTGGTGAATATAAAACACGACGAGTCGTATTACAATAATAATGTTTATACAATTATATATATTATATATATTATGTCTCGTTGGCATATACGCGTATGTGTATACCTACGCGTAGGTATAACCAATGAAATAACTGACAACAATGTCGCACAATATAATATAGTATTGTACTTGTACATTGTAATACGCCGCCGAACAGTTTTCGTTCAGCTCAAACATATCGAATTATATTATTATATTATATTATTATGGTCTCGTAATGACACACGCGCACACGCACGCACATGAGAGTAAATAGTTATAGGTACAGGTAGCGGGTACCGTCTCGGCGCAATGATTTGTATATGTATCGAGGTATACATTATACCGGTTACGCGGTTTATAGTGTTGCCGCCGTTGTATACTTGTAGATGCGCGTTTAATATAAATCATTATAATAATATAATATGCCGCGCAACTCTTCTCCGTCGCGTAATATAGCAGTCTCGTAGTCCGCGTTCAAATCCCGAACGAGACGTTCGCTCCGGCTGCTGCAGGGCTGACCGTGCAGCCATGCAATTACCGTGATTTATTAAGGTATTATTTAAGTTACATGAATATGACATACCAGCAACAGGGCTACAGTTAAAAGATGATGTACAATGTGCATTAATTAAAAGTCAACGCGTGTGCCGAAAAAAACTAAACATTTCAATTTATACGCGTATAAATAAACTTATATAACTTATATTAACCTATAAACATACTTATATTGATGATAATATATTAATATGTATCTATAATGTATGAAGTTTTAATATCAGTGTGTTTTTTTTAACGCTTGTGATGTTTGATGTATGTACTTAATCGTCGACGGTTTGGAATTTCGTAAGAAGTTTTCACTTCGGAACCACATATAGGTAAAACAATAATCATATTGTGTTTTCTTAAAATATGGAGAACATTATAAAATAATTTTATAATGTGGTAGATATAGTATCTCTCATTATAATATATACTTAGCTATAAAATAACGTCGATAAAACGCCAAGTAATTGAATACCTATAAATTATATTTATACGTAGGTAAAACCTGTATGGTGCACGTTATTTTTGTTGAATAGAATAAAAATTAATTGGCATATTGTTTTTAAACAAATTATTCCTAGTCTTATAGTTGTATTTAAAATGGTAATAATTATGATAAATAAATAAATTATAATGTATCTGTCTGGTCTCATACATGTTCCAGGCACTATTGTTGAACAAAATGTCTCATAGTTACATTAATTTTTTCCGGTCTAAAATGGCTGAATCGTGTTCCCGCGTTAAGCTAGAGCTTTATAGATAATAATATTATTACTATTTTATAAAATGCCGTATGCGATTTGTTTCAGTTGTTAATTACTGATTAGCATAAAATAAACAGATGTTTATAATTTATAAGTAACATGCGTTAATAATAGTTTTTTTTTCTTATTAAATATATCCGACATGTTTTTTTTCAATACAAACATGATGCTTTTATTGTCATCCATGATACTACATGCATACAAATTATGATGATATTAATGAATAAATAACTTATATTATCATACATTACATTACTTTAAAATGTGTAAGTAGTTTTTATTTTAAAAATCTAAAGCAACAAATTGTTAACGTTTAAAATTTTAAAAAACATCCTAAAATGTCGTTATAGTATACTATACTGTGGTTATGTTCGTATAATATGGAGCCTTATTTTAATGAAATACTGAATACTGTAGTACAGACTTGTACCGAGCAGGTGAATGGAGCAAGACTAAAACCTACATAAAATCCAGTAACACTGTTGTATACTTGTATTGTATAATATAGGTATAGCTAGTGACTGTAAGTGTATTTCAAAATATAACGACATTTCAAATATCACCAAATTGTTTGCCAAACAATCGTTGAAATTATTTTTATAAATTTGAATATGAATCATAATATAAAAAGTTGTGAATGTTTCAGAAGACAAAAAAAATTATTTCATAATATATTTGAAATTGTATACTTCAAGGTAAAAATCGTAAACGCAAATACTAAAGTTCGGTTGATTCTCGATAAAAAAAAATGTCTATATATATTATACATATGCATAATATCTATTATAGAGGCCATTGTAGATTATTATTATTATACAATACCACCCAATCGGGGAAGCACATCGGTCTGACGACGGAGGTTCAAAGTATATCGAATGTCATTTATAATTACGTGTACACGCGATCAAAACCGTATGCAAACACTGCACCTACATATAAAGGCCTCTCTCTGTGTGCGTGCCTATAAGCATAATATTATATTTTGTGTGTGCGCGTATATAAGGGTTATGTACTTCCGTCCAGACCAACGTTTCCTATTTTTTTTTTGTCCATATTGTCTAAATTATTTTAGAGCCACGTGCTCATATATAGTAAACGCGTATATATTATATAGTACCCATAAGGCCATAAATAATATTATACGTATGTACCAAATGTTTTATATTTAAAATCGCTCTCCCTTGTTATCCTTTAAACAAATGTAGGCTAAAAATCTTTGTTGTTGAAGCCTTAATAAACTTTATAAAAAAAAAAATATTATACGTATAGGTATATAATATAGTCACGTTAATTTAGGTATCCCGGTCATTATTTTATTGAAAAACACTCATTATTTCAAAAACTATATTAACGTTTAGAAAATATATTTTTACATAATTTTAAGCAATTATTAAAAAACAATATTTTTGGAACAAAACATTCTATTTTATCATTTTTTATCTTCATCATTGTTTAAGTTGATTTACTTTTGTTTATGCGACATTATGACAACATAATTTTTTAATTCCTTATTCCGAAACATGAAACAGAATATTTTTAGGAGTTTGGACGAATAGTTTATGAGGTAAGTAGGTAACCTAACCATTCATTAAAACTTCAAATACTTATAACTTATTATCTCAACCATACTTTCCGAAATTTAATTTCTACTCATTTATAGAAGTTGTCCATATTATGTTTGTTTTGGCATATGAAATTAAAAATAAACTATATAGTATGTACATATGTTGTAATCAAAAAAAAGTAAAATCTAGTAACGTTTTTGAAGTTGATGTTTTAAGTTGGATGTACCTATAATATAAACGATCGGTGCATAATAATATGCTGTATAAATACAATGTAGGGCTGTCAAAAATCTATAAACCAACAATAATATATAAGTAATAATATATATTTATTTGTCTCATTTGTTTTGTCCGGTACAGCCATCACGACCCCAGTCGCCGGCAGACCTCCGCAGTCCACGTCGCCGTCGCCGTCGCCGTCTCCGGCCACGCTGCGTGAACTGTATGCCATGGCGGCCAGCCAACAGCACCAGCAGCACTCGCGACTGCTCGAGTTGTCCAACAGATATCGAGGGTATCCAGAAATCGCCCACCACGTGTTCAACCAACAAGGAGCAGTCACCAAGTTGCTAGGTAAGACCATCCAAGAATATCATCATTTTTGCACATCATCCAATATCGGCGTATACCGCCGCGATATATGATAATATTATCAATAATATTATATAATATAATTTGATAATATATTATATTGTAATACATCATGTACCTATAACAATAATAATAAAAATAATATGTCAGATGTATTATAATATAGTGTTAAGAAGACGCTATAGGTACCCGCATGTGTTGTCTCCGTCTTTCAAGTGCGTAACACAACAATTTTTACGTTCAGCAGATCAAATTTTGCTCAGTTAGCTTAAAAATTAGAGTGAATTTACCTCTTATTAAAATTAAAGGTAAATTTAAAGTAAATGCAATTTTTACGGAGGGCTTCTCTTGAAATTTTTATTACATTTTTATTTTAAAGAGAGTTATGAGTATTTTAAGTTGTACAAACAATTTACAATTTTTAAATACTCATTGATCTGCCGAACATAAAATTTGATCTGTTACGCTCTTGTAAGACGGAGACAACACATGCGGATATAGCGTCCTCTTAAGCACAATAATAACGCTGGTCTGTCTCCCCCTATCCTTCTCCGAGCCCAAGCATGACGATCGCTGCCCCTCGAATATGCGTGCATGTCACAACCCGCGGTATACCCCATGGCTGACGTGATCACGATCACGACTGAGAATAATAATAATGATAATAATATAATATCCTCACGTAATAGGCCACCACTAGAACGTTCGACGTTTGAGATAGATAATTTATAATATGTATAGTGTTTGACTTTTTTTTTTTTCTTTCTTTTTACCATCCTCTTGCAATAGCTTTTTTTTCGTATACTTTTCCTTCTTACATTACTATTACTTCAAATGTATGCACATTCGCCATTGAACGAGGAGCATATTATTATTATTATTATTATTATTATTATTATTATGCACTTAGGTAGGTATGTCATTACTATTTGACGATGTGTTAGTGTTACAATTATAAAGTTATAAATTACAATTCAATGCAAGTTCGTTTCGCGCCGAGGTGGATTCGTTTTGTGCGCATTTCGCTATCATATATGTGTGCAGTGTGCGATATCTTGTCCGCTCGTAGCAACTCACATCATAACTCATAAGCGCCGTTATATCGTCATAATATATTATATATTATTATATAATTTATTTACTAGGTAGGTTAACGTACCGTACTCTATAAATACAAAGTACACATATGTAATAATACGGAGAGTATGTATAGTATAATTATCTGTTGACGTTCTATATAGGGGCCACAACTTTATATACGAAACTGCAGATCCTATAGACTCATGTTGTTATCAATATTTGAAAATAATATTCATACCTAGTTTTTGAAAAAAATACTATGTCATAACTCGGCAATAAAGCCGTATTTATGAATCAGTTTTTTCGATTTTGGTCTTTGTAACAGTAGCCAGTATAAGTACCTATAGAGATATTATACGTCTACTCGTTTCATAACGAATAACATAGTTTATAAATTATTGTTACATAATTATATTAGTAGTATAAAGCCGCGAAAAATAATACTGAGTTTAATTTTTAATTTAAGAGTGACATCTAGACATTGGCACTTAGTAAAATAGTTGAATACTTTAGGAATCGTACTATAATATGACTAGCTGTCACACGTAGTGGACTGCACAAAGTAGTTATACTCGGCAACTTTTTATCCATCAAAATAACTAAAGCATATACATTTCACTTGTTTATAAATCTCATGATCGTGATTTGATCCATGGAAGTACTATACGAACAAACGATTTAAAACGCGTTTTCAGTAATATATATGATACTAGATTATTTGTAAGTTAGGTATAAAAAGCGTTTGATAGTAGCTTGATGTTGTTTTGCATTATTTTCATATAAAAACTAAAAAGTGATACCGAGTGATATCCTTAACAAACATTTTTTTATAAATATGCATAAGTATGATGTAACATTACATTATCGATAAATTAAGATTGTATGAAATATGAAGTTACTTTTACAACCATTTTATAGGAGAATAATTTTGTATATTGTTTAGAATAATTTCATGTTTTAAGTTAATCGTTAGCTTATTGTTCACTTGGTACTGTCATAAAATATTTGATGTTGAACATTTTAGAATATTATAGATTAATACTTCGTATACATATATCGTTTAAATATGGCACCTGTTCTTATGAGTTATGAAAAATAATTCAAGATCGAGAACCAAAATGTACAAAAATAGTCATTCAAATCGTTTTTCCTCTTACCCTTTTGATTTTTTTAAACTAGTTTCGTTAGCATATAAAAATGAAGGTTGGTATCCCGCGTGTGTGACGATGTAGTTGGTCGTAGTATTAAATTATGTAATAAAATTATATTTTAGAACGACCATCACATTCATATAAACAATACTGTGTCCATTATGTATACTAAAGGTTTCTTATGTAGATCAACACCAAAATGTTAAATAAAATCACGATAAAAATTATAGTTACCTATTTATATATTATACAATTATACAAGGGGAATGTTCGTAGCATAAAATGTAACTCCAGATACCTAAAAAATGTACCTATAAACGCCTTATTCAACACGGTTGAAGCCGAAGTGTATACACTACAATACAATTATTCCATGGCCATTAGTCGGTGGAAGCATAATAATTTTTATAGAGAAAAAAACTCGAGAAACACCGTTTTATTTTACATTTCGATTCAGTATAAAATATGTCCATTTATCTCAATATTTTGACAGTATATGTATATACTTTATATAGCATGCAAGGCGACTAGTTACGGTGTGTGATTGAATTCAGCATATAGGCGTACCAAAAATATGTTAATATTCGCATGCGAACGCATATAGTGGTTCAATTATTATTCGCCAAGTATTTGTAACACGATAGGTATTACGTCGAGATGCTTCATTGCCGGTCGACTACTTTGTTACGCTGTTGGGCGCACACGTCCGTGAACGGTACAGCCTCCGCAGATACAAAAGAAGCGAATAACAGAACGTGAGAAGTCTAACATAAGATTTAATTATTTCACGAAATTGAATTATTTCTGTTTGACCCGTACACGCGGCAGCGATTTTTTCCTCAGGGAACACGGACTTGCTGCTTGTTAACCAAAATTAAATTGTTTGAAAAAAAACAAAATAGAAAGTGGTCTAAGTAATAGTATAATATTATAATCAATACTTTTTAAGCCCATGACCACAACTACCGGTCTCATTTTGTACATTTCACTCGATCATGCCCATTTACATTTTTGTAAGTCTTCAGTGGGCTTTGACAATCATTCGTGAATTGGTACGATTTGTTCGATTAATAAATATACATGATAGTGATTCTCTACAATGTACAATTTCCATGAGGGGTCATAAAAAGCTTGTTAAAACTAACATCAGTAACTACAACATTACAACGTATACTCACCGATCATTTTAAAGCGCGCACCATGTGTACACTGCAAACCGTTTTAATTTTCAAAAGTAGACGCAAAAAATTTAACAATTTGTTAAAAATAAAATTATGTAATTATAACAATAATATATAACTCTATAATATTACAATCATTAGAATTTGTATACTAACACATAGACATTTGTACAACTTGTGAAATACAATAACAATGCTATTGTTAATCCACCTAATTAGGTTGAACTTTATAGAATATGTAGCTATAATACCCACATAATATTATGTAACGCAATATAACATAGTTTTATAAAATGTGTAAGTACTTTGTACTTACCAATTTGAAAAGTTATTTCATGTCCAAAATTTAATTGCCAACACCAGGAAGGTTATTTTTTTGTATGGACGAACAAGAGATACATCTAACATAATATTATTGTTATTATTTCTATATGTGTAAAAAGAGGTTAGTAAAGTAATCTCTTATCTACTACAAATCAATATAAATTCTGCATGCGGCTACTTAGTATAATAAAAGCCGATTTGTAGATTTCGCATAGATTTTTTCAGAGGTATGTTTCTCAATTGTTGTTAAAAAATTTAATATTTTACAGTCTAATCACATTATACATTTGTGCAGTATTATTCAGTATTAATGGATACACCAGCTTACATTGTAATAATATGGTGCATATTATATGTTGTGGAGAGTGGATATATTATAATGTATATTGTATATTCAACAAAACATTTTTTTTTTCGTTCGTCAATATTATATTACCTTTTGCAATAATGCATTTACTCTAAACACAAATAGTTAAACAAGTCAGACGAGATGTCGTAGTTGAAGATGATTATAGTAATTTGCGAGGGTAAGAAAAAATAATAATAATAATCAACCAAAAACCTGTTGGCTGTTAGCTTGCGGCTGTCAGAGTGGCCATGTATGTGTGTGTAGGTGCGAAAGCCAAATTGTCGCCAAATAATGTGTATACATACAAATGTATGTATTTAATATAATAGTAACTCATGTTATGTTGGCGTCTCGTGTGTGTTAATTAGCCGTCGACACGAATTCGGTTTAACACGCGTCTTTATATTTCGCCTGACTCGGCGGGGACCGGCTGCGTTTGGCAACGGGCACGATAAACGACGAGGGGGAAAAAACAATACCAGAAGTCATTCGGAAGAGATTATTTTGTACAGGAAGTGCAGGTGGACGAAGCCGTTGATTTTTTTTTGCCTTTCTAAACTCTGAAACACCATCCTACGAGAGTAGGAGAAAAAAACCTTAAACTCGATAGATGTATACACGGTATGTCCATCGCGAATAAACTAATAAAAATAATAATACATTATTTAACTGTATTTTGTTACTTTTTTTTCTCCTGCATTCGGAATTATTTAATGAGTGAGTGCTGTGCGTACCTAAGCTCCATACGTACATACGCGCATAGTATTTATGTACAGCGTATTGTTTTTTTAGTTTTTTTTTTGTACCGGGCCTACTTCTATAACTACCCGTGCGTTTTTTTCAAACAAAGAACAAATATTTTATTATGTAAATGTCCACTTCGAATGAAATGATACCCATCTGTCGGAGTGTTCGTATTAAACGTTGCGAGCCGGAACAGTGTATGAAAGAAAAATATGATCTCTTAAAAAAAACACACTCACATACCTACACTGACGGATATATTTACGTACAATATAATCACTCGGTTAAACTTGACGAACAAGAAGTCGAGTTCATGAATTATTTTAAGACGGTTGTTATTACAGGGAATTAAAATAATTACTAATTGTTGCCTAATTGTTTTGAAACGGTGTTTTTTTAATTTTTTTTTTTATTGTCTACCGAACAACAATAAAACAGTATATGCTTTTTTTAGAACCTTCTATTTTCTCTGTCGTTCTAATACCGGACGTACATTTATGAGACATTTTAACCTTATACATCATCATACAAATACTTACATCCTGAATAATGAATTAACACTTAGTTAATATTAATCTGTTAATTTCTACTTAACATAATATATTCCGCATATACAACATAAATATGTATTATTTTTACCGTTGAGAGATCCCATTTAATTTGAAAACACATGTTTAATTACTGCTTTGTTTATCTAATCTGCTTGTATTATGTTTGTTTTTTATACTTCGTCAAATAAAAATATCTCTATCAAATTATCAAATTTTTACACAACATAAAAAATATATGATTATATGAATGCTTTAAATTAATATAATAATGTACAATAATTTAGTTTAAAAAAAATAAATATATCAACCATAGCAAAACACAAAAATCAGTTACATCTGCTACGATATAAAACTAAAATGTTTTCAAACTCTTTATCTCTGAAAATCGTATGCAACAGATATTAATATATATGAAGGTACAGTACTCGCATACCTAAAATGTACCTATATGGGCTATGAAGTTATTTATTTTCATATCGTATGAACTGGTATGATACAAACAAATGTATTCTATCAATGAAATCGTTAAATAGATTGTCAAAAACTGTATCTTTATTCTTTATACTTTTACATATATGCCAAACATATTTAATATTTGTTCTATTAATTTTATTTATCGTAACCTAGAATAATTAAACCTAATCAATTTGAATTATTTTCAATTAGCTATTTTTTGTTTCAAACTTTTAATCTTGATATTTTTATCTTAGTTTGATTTTATTTGAAATTTTTATTTTTAAATTAATGGTATTGTGCAGTTGTGAATATTTTCAATAGCGTAACCTACTGGCATTAAATTAAAATAATATTACTGTACATTTTTACGGGTAAAACAGTAAACTTATAATGATAGACTTTATTCAAAAACACATTATAATATAATTAAAAAAATATGTTTAAATACTTAAATATATACCTAAATGAGTTGTAACTTGTAAATGTTCACAGTAGGTAGCTAAGACATTCACGCACATTTGATGCAAATTAGTATGTATATAAAAACTTTTGAATTTCTTTATGAAAACATACAGACTTTTTTGATATAATAAAATCAAAGCTTATGACACGCACTTTCATTTAACGTACCAACATAATACATTAAATTTCTACGTGAATATTAGTTTAACAATCAGGTTAATGCTCAATTTTTTTAAATGTTGTTATATTAAGTGGAGAATCTTAATTTCTTCTCATCTACTGCAATATTCTATACTGATTTTATTTATTTTGTTGGATAATTATTAAAGTACAATATTATTTATTCATTTTTTGAGTTCTAGATAAATCAGTTGATAGTTATACCTAATGTAATCAAAAAAAAAAAAAAATCACATTTAATAAATAGAGCAATTCGTTATTATATTTTAACACATTATTTCTATTATAAAGTCTATAAAATAGTTTTTGCATTCAGCATTTATAAACTGACTGAATAAATTAAAATATTTCTTACTTTTAAAATCCTAATACATATTATGTATGTAATAATTTTCAGGTTTATTTAAATTGATGATGTTATTTTTGAATAAAATAAACATAACTATAAATACAATATTGATAGCGGCAATGATAGCTGCCAAAGTGACAAATGATAATACGTATGATGTTATGACATTATAAGAGCTAGTACCTACTATATTCTATAAATTGAATATTTTGAATCAATCGAAAAAAACGGTTTTTTTTATAAACACAGGTCTTTTGACGTATAAATTATTTACCCTCCATATAAATCACTTTTGACGCTTTCTTATTAAAAGACGCGTACCTACATATAACTATACAGTCCAACGATTTGACTAACAAACTAGGTTTGTTTTCCCCCGGAAATATACGTCACATCATGTTTCACATCATGGTCAACCTCTAATGAGACACTGGGTCATTATATTATACACACATATGTACATATAAACATGAATATGAGAATAAAAAAAAATAGAAGCCGTTATTATATATCCAGAACCAGATGCTCCTATTGTCAAGATGACCATACCTATTGAATATTGACTGTCTGCCGCTTATTAAGTCTCATATTATTTAAATAGTACTCCTGCAGTGTATTTAACTGTGTTACGAAACAATGTAATGTCGTTATGCGTACGCGTATAATATACACGCCTGGCGATCGGACCGTCCCTTCCAGGTCCAGGTGTATGTTGATTTCTTGAATGGGCAGCGGTTCGAAGAATAACAAAAAATAAATTGTTCTTCGGTAATACGATATCGGATGACGTTGTAATCCATTATTTATGATTTTTTTTTTATTACTCAAGACAAAAGACTAACGCGTAACATGTGAAACCTGTTCACATGTACAACAAGACAGCTATAATAATAAGGACAAACGATTTGGATAAAAACCACAGAGAAATTGTATTGCAGATCGCACTAATTAAAATATATATGTATATAGTATGTATCCCTAACCTTATCCTATAAAATATAGAACATTTGTCAATATTCGTAAGTTGCCAGTATCACCACTTGTGACAGACATAATAGTATTTATATTATTTATATATTTTAAACGGTTTTTTTATTTAGTTGAAAAATAATATCTTGTTGGCCAAATTAAAAATTAATAAAGTTGATAGCGACTATAATAATATGTGTGTTAGTTAAACCGAAGTTATATGATTAAATATACGTGAATCAGTGGACTATTTCGATCGGCTAAGAACTCTAGTATCTATATATACTGCATTTTTATTAATTAGAATAATTGCTTTTTAATACTCTTCTAAACGTGACAAACATATTTGTTTCGTCGTTTCTGCGTTTGTTTTTCTCGTTGTATCATGAAATCAGAGCGGATAAGCAGTTCCATCGAATCCTCATCATTCGAAGTCAATGCATCATCCGACAGTCCGAAATCCTACAATGACAGCGGTTCGCGAAAAGCGGTGACGCGTGGTGTCGCCGGCGACTCTATTTCCGCAGGGACGTCGAAAAAAGTAGACAGGTACGCCTGGCAATCCGTAGGAGCCCGACCGAACTCACAGCTGTCGATCGACGAAGGCGACGGCGACGGCGTCAAAACCGACGAACGGACGGAAATGGAAGACAAAATGTTTCTGATCAACAGGCTGTTGAGGTGCAAACACCCGAAAACGAAGTGGTACGGAGACGACGATGACCATCGGCCGCGGTCGACCGATCGTCCGACGGTCGAGAACGATTCGGGGTTCGATCGTTACGAAGCCGTGGACTCGCGGCAAAGTCTCTGCGACGACGGCGAGAGCGACACCGACGGTGACGACGGTTCGTCGACGTCGTCTTGGCTGTTGGGCACCGACGAGGTCATCACCAAACAGCGTAGTCGTCGGTCTCCGGAAAAACTAGCCCCGGCGGCTACGACAGCCGCCAAAGGCCGCCGTCAGAAGAAAAACCCGGCACTCGGATGCAATAAAACGTTGACGCGGCGGCGGCGGCCGCCCTCAGCCGAGAAAAGACACCGGGAAGAGAGACTGCTGTCGTCGTTGCTGCCACAGTCGCCGCAGCCGTTCGAGGTCATCGTCGATTCTGGTAAGTATTTCGCAAATGCCTCCGCGGCTCCCAGTCGGCGTCAGAGGGAACGGCAGATCAAAGACGCGTACGCGGCGTCGGAACAAAACACCCGGACGCCGGCGGCGGCGAGGGCCCGGCGGACCACCGACCGCAGTCACGAGGCGTCGTCTTGCATTAATCGCAAAATGGGTAACAGAGAAATCACGCGCACAAACAAAATAATCGCCGACAAGATATTGAATGTCCGGACGACCATTCCGAAAGCCAAAAAATAATCGATTAGCGCACCTGCGAACGAACATCGTCACCGCCGCCGTCATCATCGTCATCGTCGTCATCAGCGCGGGGCGTGTTGTGCACCCACCATATTATTATTATAATATACTATAATAATGCGTGTGTGCTGCGGCGTACTATTTTTTTTCATTTTCATTCGCCTGTACGATTAACGAAATATATATTTTATTTTATGATTTTTTTTTTTATTATTAAACAAACTGTCCGTGGCGTCTGCATTGGCCATTGGACGTAGCAGCACATTATATATATATATATATATATATATATTTAGAGGTTGCATGCATTTTTAAACGATGGCAAACAGAATAACATATTAAGAAACAAAAGTAAAAAATATAATAAAAGAAAAATAATAATAATTCAAAGAGAGATATAAAAATATATTTTATTATTTTCGGTGTGTAACGATATATTATAATATTAATAATAATAATGATAATATATTTATGCGACGTGATATCGTATGTCGTTTAAAATCTACATGAGCCGTATATTTATATTATAATAAATAATAATATAGAAACGCGTTTGAAAAATTTTGGAACATGCCGCACGTATATATTCGTATATATATTCCTGAAGATGTCGGAGACAATAATATCCGGCTGTGCAGTGTTCGATTTCGTCACTGAAGTTTTGTACAATAGTATTCAAATTTGTAAGTAATCTACGTTAAGTCGTGGTGTAAACCGAGAATTTGACGAAAATCTTATGATGTAATATGATATTATATTGGTTCCAGTAAAAAACCGAAATCCGTCAACATTAGTTTTCACAACCCCCTTTTGTGAAAACTGATTTTAACTAGTTACAACTAGAATTAACTTCAAGTTTAAATGTGTAAATGAAAAAACTATTTTTCACTGAAATAGATAGGTATCTATAAAAAATAAAACCTAAAACGTGTACGACCTTAAGCGATAGCAATAGACTAGCCGACTATCACCCATCAAATAAATTCAGATAACACCGACCGGCTGGCTATCAAATCGGCTAAGAAATCATAGTTAAAGAGATAGGCAATATAGCTGCTGTAGTAGCTGTTTGCCTGTGTGTATATCATCAAGCTATTTACAAAGGTCTTTGAGTGACTATCTGTGCCTATCGTTCAGTTCATGGCTGCATGTACAGTGCGTTATTAATTGTTCATTTTTTGCGTTTTTCGTGGTGGAAAAGTTTTTCATTTGTGTTAACAATATTTTTGATACAAACTAAGAATGAAATTAATTTCCACTAGATAGTTTTACGGCTAGTTCTGATTAAAGGTACGTTAAACCTAATCTTAAAGTTGAGGTTCCTGGTCGATTCTAGTTTTAACAGTAGTTTTTATTTTATTCAAAAAAGTTTTTTTATTTACAATCTGTAATTACATTGTTGTAAAATGAGTGAATCGGAGGGGGATTATTGCCATAAAGTGAAAGTCACTCGTGAATTATGGGTACTTAAAATCAGTTTTAACAAAATTGGCTTGTGAAAACTAGCATTGACGAATTTTGAGTTTTAGCAGTAAAATATTCACAAAATATAGGTATCTAGGTATAAAACAATACGAGCGAAAACGACTCCATTGAGTAATCGTAGTAAATATTATAAGAAATCTATATTTGAGAGCGTTTACGAATTAATTAATTACAACATATATTGTCAGTCGCCATCATGATAATATTATACTCATCATATATGATACTCGTGATATTATATATTATATATGAGGGTGGTCGGGTAGGGCCTCTAAAATCGTATACATGTAGTATGTAAGGAGAAATAGATACCCGCAGCTACGCTGTTTTGTTGTTAACAATTAGGTACCTACCAATTATAAATTAGATACATATTATAGTCAAATAGAGCTTAATCCGGAAGTCCTATTGGTTATTTCCAATAAGTTATGTAAGTTTATATAATGCTTAGGAAATTCAAAAATTCAAAACGAATTCAGTAACCTTACCTACACGTGCTTACAGATATCCTAAAACCCTGCAGTGACTTGATAGTGCCGACATGTATACCACGTTAAAACATGAATTAGATACTTAGTGTAATAATGAAATAGGGCGTCGTTGTAGATCCCCAGGTTGTACGAAGGCCAGGAAAAGTGAACTGAAGTAATTCACCCCACTGTAGGTCAGTGGCCCAAAAATAAAAAAGGTCGCGTGATAGTGGTTTTAAATTATTATTACATCTATATATAGCTGCTTGAAATAGGTATATTAGTTCGCTGACATAACAATACCATAGTCGAAAAGTCTTAGAAGATGTGTAAGAACATAAAATATGTATAGGTACTTATATACATATATATATATTTATTGAATATTATTCAGTTTCCGTAATGGTGACGTTAATACTGTGGCAGCTTAGAAAACAATAAAACCACAATTAAGGATGTTTGAGCAGAAAATTTGAAATATTGCAGCAGGCAATTTATCATGAATGGAATGTCTGCGGTGTACATACATTAATAAATGGTAGTAAGAAAGACCTTAAAATCATCTAAAATTCCAAAATTACCCCTAAACATACTAATTTATTGGCGGAAAATGCTAAAAGAGAAAGACTTTTTCAAGTAGAACTTCAATTTCGGTTACGTTTGGTTCAATTTAAATGTTGATAAAAGATTTGTATTTATCAACCTTTTTAGTTTTTACTATAATTTATTAGTTATGGTAAAAGAAAAATATTTAACGTTTATTACTTAATAATATATGACGTAGATTTTCATACTTTTCTTTTTTAAATATTTTTGATTTAACCTTAAGGCTTGTTAAATACAAAACAATGTTTTTTTATCTGGAAAAGAAGCTAATAAACTAATGGGTATTCAAATATTAAAAACAGTAATCAGACGTTGGGATGTACATAAACTAACCTTTCACTAATAATTGGTTTAAAACCACAAAAAAGGGTATTCTCCAATAAGCCTTAAACCCCAAGCTTCATAAAAGATCCCGAAACCAATAATTTTTATTTTCAATAACCCTTAATTCAAGTCTTTTAAAATCATCTCATTGAGCAGTTACCTGTTCAAAGATAAACTCATATGTAATTTAAAAATACTATTTCAATAAACACCATTAGTACCTTCTACACTGGAAAAAAATAACTAAGTTTAACAATATATTATAGCTTAAATAATTCAACTGCAACAAGAAAGTAATATATTATATATAACCCATGAAATAAGAAGTGTTGTATATTGCAGTAGTAATATAGTAAGTGTGTTGTTAGTAATATGTGTTGCAGTGTTGTTAAGTTATAGGTTATATTTTTACCATATGCCGATATACTTATGTATACACAAATATATTCTAGTTTAAACGTATTAAATATTTTTATTTTTTCATATTTCTTTGAAATTGTATTTTGATTGACATATACTTACTAAACGATCAATATATAATGGGTGAACATTATGTAAACATATTATTATCATTTAATCGGTTATGCGCGATTCCGCTGCAAGTCATATATATTATTAAGTCATAATTTATATAATAGTACCTATCACAGAAAAAAAAAAATTTTAAAAATTTGTTTTTTCGCCCGACAGCTAACCCCATGTAGACATGATTGTTATAATGATTGTTTTTACAATCTCTATCGTTGCATTGATATAAAGCAGTTAAGCATTTTAGTTAATCCCACACACATATGTTTTATAATATTAATATATAAATGCTCGTTTCGTGCTCGATCGTCGTCGGACGCGTTCGGCGGGGGCGTCAAAGGTCTACCCGCGTGCACGCGAATAAAAATACATCGCGTCCATTAAAATAATAATAATAATTAATAATAATAATAATAATAATAATAATAATAATAATGATAGGTGGGTAATGATAATATATTCGACGAGCGTTTGGGGCCATTGTTGTTGCAAAGCCAACCGAGCGCGGCGTCGTTACGTGCGCGAGTGACCGGCCGTGCGTGCGCGCACAAGCGTCGGGACGCACGTTGTAATATTATTGCGTAATGGCGTATGGGTACCCGCTTGTGCACACGCACACACGAACGCGGGCGCGCTACTGCCGCCGCGGGTAGGCGTACGCGGCCGGACGGGCGAGCGGGTGGTGACGGCCAAAGTCGACTATGGCACGTAACCGCACCAAAGCGGCGGACGGCGGCCACGTCGGCGACTGCGGACGACGACGACTACACGGCCGCCGGTCACAACAACGCGAGTAGAACCCGTCGCCATGGATACGTCCGAGCGGCCGCGCAATAACATTATAACAACAATAACAATATTATTATTATTATTATTATACCATTACGATACTACAATATTAAATACACACAGACGAGCGCGCTCGCGCGCACCCATATGGCTATATATATATATATGCCTATACGGCCAGCCAACATATATTGCCGCCGCGACCCCCTTTCGCGCAGCGCACCCACCCACACCCATCACACGCACGCACGCCGGCGGTCACCCCTCTGACCCCGCCGCCCCCACTGACCCGTTCGCATGCTTTCCTGCATGGCTGCCCCCGGGACCCGAAGGCCAGTGGTCGTCGAATAACATATTATATTAGTATTATTATTATTATTAATATTATTACTCCGTCCGCTCGTCCTTTTTTCAGTCGGAAGTAAACGCAAACATCGGTATTACCTCTCTACGCAGCCCTACTTCGTCGTGGGTTAGGACACCTCCTTATCCTCCTTCTCCACCTCATCCACCACCTCCCCGGCATCTTCTACTTCATCCGCACTTATTAGCCCCCCGCGTGGTTTACAACATACGATTATTAGAATATTGTACTGAGCCCGCGCGTTTACATATTCCACTGGCGCCGTATGCATTTCAGCGTGCTATAAACCGCGATTAATATGCGATTATCAGATATTATTATATTATCGCTCGTTTGCGTATTATGAATGCTATTATTGTAATGCGTGGCTAGCGGGTAAAACGAAATAATATTTTTTGGACGACCGCTGCAGATCAATCGCAACAATATGAACGGTGTTGATGTCTTTTGTGGGTGCAGGCGAAATCAGTTTTATTCGAACTCGTGAGGTATTGTAATAT